TGCAAAAATTTTAACTTTTAATGATTTATATAATAGATTATATACCAAGGAGGGAAAGATATAAGTATAAGTTAGCCAAACAAAGAGATAGAAATGGTAAAAATTAATTAGTTCAAGTGGAGTGCATAAAGGATTAGATAAAAAAGTGCTTTTATTAGAAGAAGATATTCAACAAAGATTAATGAGATATTTTGCTAAATTTTTCAATGAAGATTGAAATACGATTGACTTAAGCGATCTTAACATCCTAAATAAAAAAAAAGACTTTTATTTTTATTGGCGTATTAGTAACACCGAATTAAGCTAGGGAGGATTTACAAAAAAAGAAGTATAGAAAAGTTGTTGGACTTGATGATATCGCAATAGAGGTGTGGAAATGCTTAGGAGATGTAAGAATTTTTTTATTACTAAACTTTTTAATATTATTTTGAAGTCAAATGATTATAGAATGAGTATGTTGATTCCTACTTTTAAGAATAAAGGTGATACACAAGATTGTACGTGCGAATTATAGAGGAAATAAGTTAATGCATCATATTTTGCAACTATGGGAGAGAGTTATGGAGCATAGGTTATGATGTGATACTAATGTTTATCAAAATCAATTTGAATTTATGCCGGGTAGGCCTACTATGGAAGCTATACATTTATTGAGAGGTTTGATGGAAAAATATAGAAAGAATAAGGAGGATTTACATATGATATTTATTGATTTAGAAAAAGCACATGATAAAGTTACAAGAGAAGTATTATGGAGAATTCTAGAAAAGAAATAGGTTAATAATGCTTATATTCAACTCATTAAGGATAAATACGCATGATTTGTTACTTGTGTTCAAACACAAGGTGGTTTGACCAAGTATTTTCCTATTTATGTTGGATTACATCAAGGATCAGCCTTAAGCCCATATCTTTTTGCTTTAGTCATAGATGTTCTCACTAGACATGTTCAAGAGATTGTACCCTATGTGAATTTGAATTATGGAGATCAACCTTAGAGTTTAAAATTTTTTGTTTGAATAGATCTAATATTGAATATATGGATTATAATTTTATTAATAACATATCTAGCGGGGGATTATGACTTTTGGCGATCAAGTCATTAATAAGAGTACACATTTTAGATATTCTGGATCTACTACTTAGAGTGATGGTGAAATAGATGAGGATATTATTAGTAGAATTCAAGTTTGATGGTTGAAGTGGATGAATACATCTGGCTTGTTGTGTGATAGAAAAGTTTCCTCAAACTTAAGGAAAAATTCTAAAAGATGGTGGTGAGACCTGCAATGCTTTATGGAGCAAAATGTTGGCCATTAAAAGAGAAGCATAATATTAAGTTAAGTGTTGTAGAGATGAGGATGCTTAGGTGGATGAGTGGCTTTACTCTTCAAGACATGATACAAAATGAGCATATTTGTGAAAAGTTTGGAGTAGCTCTAGTGGAAGATTAGATTATAGAAAGTCACATTAGATGGTTTGGCCACATAAAACAACGGCCTTTCGATCACCTAATTAGGAGAGTAGATGTATTAGATTTGACTTATGTTAAAAAATGTAAAGATGGGCCTAAAAAGACTTGGTTAGAAAATATTAGAAATGACATTTCCTCAAACTTAAGGAAAAATTCTACAAGATGGTGGTGAGACATGCAATGCTTTATGGAGCAAAATGTTGGCAATTAAAAGAGAAGCATAATATTAAGTTAAGTACTGTTGCAGAGATGAGAATGCTTAGCTGAATGAGTAACTTTACTCTTCGAGATAAGTTACAAAATGAGCATATTTGTGAAAAGGTTGGAGTAGCTCCAGTAGAAGATTAGATTATAGAAAGTCGCATTAGATGGTTTGGCCATATAAAACAGCAGCCTTTCGATCACCTAATTAGGAGAGTAGATGTATTAGATTTGACTTATGTTAAAAAATGTAGAGATGGGCCTAAAAAGACTTTAGAAAATATTAGAAATGACATTTCTTTATTAGATGAGAATTTGATTTTTAACTTATACAAAGGAGAAAATTAATTCATATAACTGACCTCACATAATGGAATAAAAACTTGATGTTGTATAGAAGCAATCTTATACCTAAAATATTAGGGGTGGCGATAATATATATATTTAATTAGTTAACAATAGTTTTACAAAATAACTATGTTAAATAAAACATTTTAGTTTTATCATTGGTTTTTTAATTTACCTCTAACATGCCTTAACCACCACTAACATTAGCAGAGATATCAAGCCTATTTTTGAATTATTGCCATAACAACTTAGAAAAGAATGATTATTTTTTTACTTAAACCTTTGTAAAATCTAATATTCTAATGATAACCATAGAAATACAAATACACAAGAATGAGGGAAAGAATCTAGCAATGCAAAATTACAAAAGCAATACACATACACAAAATGGGGGAAATAATCTTTATGAATTTCATGTTTTACTAATCTATCAATCATTTCTTTTGATTTTTTTTTGGGATATGTGTGTTTCCATAACATAGATGCCTTTCTTTACTGGAAACTCTTTTATTTTCTATTTTTCAGCATTCAAAGCTAAATCACAAGGTTCAAGATTTATGTTTTGTTTGGGACGGTTTTTTTTCAGCCTCTTAAAATAGCTTTTTAGTTCAAAATTTTTAATTTTTGTACTAAAAAACTGCTTCAAGAAGCAGAAACAAAGCCGTCCCAAACGAAACCTTAATTAATATAGACCATCACATAGAAAACAATCACTAATAAAGGATGAAATAAGAAAAAGAGACAAAAATTTTAATAAATATAATAACCCAACTCATCAAGCTATGAAATAGAAATAAAACTCCCGCTTATGGATGGTACAAAAAGAGATTCGTATAAGAAAAGACAAGAAACATTCTGGAAACGCAGAATTACTGTCCCAATGAGAATAACTTTTGCTTTGACAATATACTTCCCCTATGTTGTTGAAGCATGAAATTCTCAAGAAATTATTACTGTTTGAGCAATATAGATATTTTTTTGCTATCATAGATTTAGGAAGATAAATGAGTATTTAATGGAGAAGGATTGAGTTAAAAATGGGCGATTTGAGGCTTGCATTTGACAAAAAGAAGAAAAAAAAAAGAAAATAAATTATTTAGGGGCCATTAGCCATTAGGCATCACCTTTTTTTTTTGGTTTACTTGCATTTTATTTTATTTTGTTTATGTTATAATATGAAATTAAAACATATTTGATATTCACATGCTGTATTTATTTTTATTGAATATTACATAAGATAATGATAGTGGTCAATGATGATGGTCAAACGGTGGTATTGATTGGTGTAAAGTGATAGGGCGTGATGGCCGACATGAGTTTATTTTTAAAAATATCTAAAATATACATAAAATTTATTTTTAGAATTTTAAAAAGAAGCTAGATTTATTTTCTAAAACAAAAAATAAAATGTTAAAATACAAAATCAATATGTTATTTAAAAATAAAAATAAAAAGTGATTCCAAATAGTTCCTAAGATTAAAAATAATATATTTATTTAATATTGTATTATAAATAAAACAGAATAAAAATATAAGTGAAAACCTAACAAAAAAAAAAGGAAAAAAAAAAGATCTCAAATAACTCATAATAATATTATACTATAAGGTTCGTTTGGGATAATTTTTTTGCTACTTTCTAAAACAATTTTTTAATTCAAAAAATTATAGTTCAAAAAAATTTTATTCTAAAAATTTTTGTACTTAAAAGCTATTTTAGAACGCAATAAAAAAGCTATCCCAAATAAAATCTACGCTTTATTTGGAACAACTTTTTTAAAGGTTTCTAAAATAGATTTTTAATATAAAATATTTCTTCAAAAATATTTGTATTAAAAAATTACTTTAAAAAGTAGTAATTTAAAAAGCAGTAAGACAATTGTCCGAACGAAGCCGATATCTCCCTATTTAAAAAAAATAGCTTAAGCTTAGGGCGGCAAACGAACTGAGCCGAGCCGAGTATGCAAGTGTTCATGTTTGTGTTCATTTAATATCAGCTTGTTCAAGTTTGGTTCATGTTTGTTCGAGCTTTATTGTTTGTGTTCATGTTTGGTTCATTTAAATTAATGAGTGTTCATGTTCGGTTCATGTTCAGTTCATGCTCGTTCGTTTAGTGCTTATCGAGCTTGTTCGCGAACATGTTAACAAATTTTTTTTAACTTTAAAACAAACACATTCGTGAACATATCTATGAGCAAACACATTTATAATAAAAGCAATTGTGTATGTAACAAAGGCAATGATTATTTATATTTATTAATTTTATAGTCAAATATTAATTATTTTTATCGAGCTTATTCACGAGTTCAAAATCGAACACTAATCAAGCTTTTATCGAGCTGCAGCCCTACTTAAGCTTGAACTCCCCTCTTTGAAAACCATTTCCATTCAATGTCCCGGACAAATTTGAGAAGAAATCTCCCTATTTCAAAAAAATTAGCTTAAGAATTATTGATTTTCTTATTTCTTTCTTGCCAAAGACAGTGACTGATATTACCAACAAAGGTCAGATAATGTCTTTCAAACCCACTGCTTATTATGACAACAATTACTATGCTGTAAAGCATAACATCAAAGAGAAGAAATAACTCATCCTTAAGTTTTTTTTTTTTTTCAATTAGCCCCATAAAATAGGAGCTTTTAAACAACAAGTGATCATTACATTCCTTAGCTCCATAGTATAAGGCACATATCATATTAATATTTAGCTTTCTAGTATAACAAATAAAATTTTATATTAAAAAATTATTTTAAGAAGCAGTAATAAAGCCGTCCCAAACAAAGCCTAAGTCTTTGTTTGAGATGGTTTTCTTATTACTTCGTAAAACTACTTTCTAGTATAAAAAATAAAATTTTTATATCCAAAATTATTTTAAGAAATAGTAAAAAAGCTGATTCAAATGAAACCAAAATCTTAACCTGATACAAACAGAGATTCAGAACGTCATTATTCATACAGAAGTCCACAAAATAACAAACAGACAAAACCCAAATCTATTACAAATAACCTTCAGTAATATTTTACCAATCTTGGCAAAGTAAACAAGTGATTATTAACTAGCACTTTTATTACTATATTGTAGCATTTCCTAGTAAAGAAGTTTCAGAAAATAGTAAAACACTCTTAGCACATTCTCAATAAGGGTCAATAATCAAAAACGAATTAAATAATGTCCTCAGTTTACAATAAAATCACAGCCTCACATCATTCAAAAACGCAAGTAATGGCAAACATAGTTACAACACAGCCTGCTATGCCTTCACGCTACCTGAGCAAACTAACCATAGCTAATTTCACTGATGCATTTCTTTCATTTAAGGATTAGCCAATAATAGAAGTTATCTTAAGCCAGGATGAGATCAGCTTATAAGCAATTAGAGAATTGCAATTTGCGAAGCTAAAATGACTCACTAACGTCCAGTTTTTGGCCTTTTCATTCCGCTGGTATTGAATGGAGATAAACTGCCACTGGGAAGAGGACTATCTTCTCTTAATCCTGAATTCAGCATGGCGAGCTCTCGAAGCTGCTGCCTCTTATAGAAATCCTGTGATTCATCCTATGGATGGAAATAATAGTTTAGTTTCCATAAACTAAAATAAAAAGATATGCTAAAAGCTAAAGTATGCTTGCAAGCAAAAAGAATTAATTATTACATCCTGATTTAAGATAGGCGTTCAATATTTACGGTTATTTCCTTAAAAAATATTTTGAGAATTTTATTATTTTTCAGCTGTCCTAAATTTTATTTTATGATGAAGGGACAGGGGGTAAGGTTGTTCTTATGTTTATATAAAAAAAATTAAGACCGTAATTTCTCCACAATCATATCTTAATGGAATTTATAGCAATAACAATCAATTGGGTGAACTGTTGTGCAAACAATCGTAACGAAAACAAAATCACACAACACACACAATAAACACAACAATTTATGTGGTTTGGTGAAGATGCCTATGTCCATGGGGAGAGGATGATGATTGCACTAAATTGTACAACAATAAGAAATTATAATGAGCTCTCTCTTCTTCTCATCTCTCACATTCAACAGTAGCCCACAGAGCTCTATTTATAGATTTGAGTCAAAATAAATCAGGAAAAAATTTCCTAATCAAATCCCTAATTAATGCAATAATTGGATCTCCTAATTAATGCATCAATCAAATCAACTAAATTAAGGAAATAATATATTCCTTAATCAATTACAATAAAGAGCCATTAAAAGCTTTCCAAATAAAAGCTTATTTCAATTTGGAAATAATTCCAAATCAACAATCTTCACCTCATCTTTCACTTCAGAAAGTGGAATATGATAAATCAGGCTCCAATATCAGAATAACTGCACCTAGAAGGTTGCCTATGTACCCCCCTCCTAAGGGGATCAAGCTGAGCATAGTTCTTCAAACAAGTGAATAATCAATCATGAGTCCAGAGCTACTGCCTTGATGTATGCATCTCCAAGTATGTATCAAGTAAACCTTTCAGATAGGATATTTTTCACAGCTTGCCAAAGGCTCATTGGATCATGTATGAACCTGCTCATAACGCCAATGCTTGTGCAATATCTGGATTGAGCTGCTCCAAAATCAGACCATCATGTGCTACAAGTGTCAAGTAAACACGGGTCAAGAGATTCTTAACCACTGGGGAGAATACCTCATTATAAACAATCACTTCTCGTTGCGTAGAGCCTTTTGCCACCAACCTAACCTTATATTGCACATCAACTCCATGAGATCCTTCTTTGCACGCATCCATTTGCACCCAATAGATTTTCTTCCCGGAGGAAGCTTCACCAACCTCCAAGTAACATCATGCTGTAGAGACTCTATCTCTTCATTCATAGCTCTCTTCCAAAAATCATCATCAAGACTGTCTATCGCTTCCTTATAGTGTCAAGGAAATTCAGCCTCCGTGGTTGAAAGTGCAAATGTAATGTGATCCCTCAACCAAGTTGGTTTTGGGATATTCTGGCTCATATACCTATTCTTTATAATAGATTCCTGAGCAGGAATCTTATCATCAACATCATCTTCTACCTCCTGATTTGTAGTTGAATCAGGTACCTTGGTAGAAATGATCTGCTCTGTGGAGTACATGAAGTTGCATTAAACTCCAACTTCTGTAGCGCATCTGTGGTCCTAGTAGAACTCTCCACCTGCTTAGAGTCCTGAAGCTTCAACATACTAGCCTCATCGAAAGTAACATCCCTACTGATGGCAATCTTCTTCCCTACTGGATCATAGAGTTTAAAGCCCTTAACTCCACGCTTGAAGCCAATAAAGATTGCCTTTTTGCCCTCAATTCAAATTTATCATTCAGAATATGATAATAAGCTAGACACTCAAACACTCTCAAGTGCTCATAATCTCTAGCAGGATGCTCTGACCACATCTCCTTTGGAGTCTTCTTCCCAATAGCTGCAGAAGGCAGACGGTTTACCAAGTGACAGACATAGTCTATTGTTTCAGCCCAATAGACTTTATCCAACCTAGCATTAGATAACATACACCAAATTCTGATTCACTCTCTCTGCCACCCCGTTCTGCTGCAGTTCCTCTCTAACAAGGAAATGATGCTCTATCCCAAATCTTTGGCACTCCTGCAAGAATGCATCCGAAGTATATTCTCCCCCATTGTCTGATCTGATACACCAAATCCTTTTGGCAGTCTAAGTCTCAATCCACTTCTTACAAATTTTAAAAATCTCCAGTACCTCGCTCTTGCATCTCATAATGTACACCCAAATATATATGGAGTAATCATCAACAAAAGAGACAAAGTATCGTCGCCTGCCGAATGATGCTGTCTTCGTCAGGCCCCCAACATTTGGGTGAAAATACTCCAGGATATCCTTTGTACTGTGGATGACAGTACCAAAGGATATATGCATCTTCTTGCCAAACACACAATGTTCACAACGATCGAGCTTTCAGGTGTTTGCTCCTTTAATCAATCATTGCTTCACCAAAGCCATAAGAGAAGCCTCTCCAACATGAGCTAGTTGCATATGCCACAATGTAGTGGCGTAAGAAGAATCATCAACAACAACAACCAATCCAATCAATATTCTTCCCTGAAGATAATAAAGATTGTGATGATGATCTTCTTTCAGATAAACAAGTACTCCATGATATATCTTTAGAACTCCTGCCTCAATGACTACCTTGTAGCCTTTGGTCTCTAAGCCCCAACAGACCACAAATTCTTCATAATATCTGAAACATGTCTCACATCAATCAACTCTCTCAAAGTACTATCATACATTCTGATGAAGATGCTCTCTACACTAATTGTACGACATGTTTGATCATTTCCCATTATCACAGCACCATTATCAAGTTCCTTGTAGGTATAGAACTACTCTATGCTGGGACAAATATGATAGGTAGCACCAATATCCAGAATCTAGTATAAATCATCTGGATACAAACTCTGAGAGACTATAGATAGTGATACATCTGAATCTTCGTTACGCTCTTCCACATTAAAATTTACCTCCGTGGAAACTATCTTTTCCTTCTCCTTCAGTTTTGAACAATTTTTCTTCCAATGACCAATCTCCAAGCATAAAGCACACTGATTCTTCCCAAGACTCCGTCCACTAGACTTGCCCCACTTGCCGTTGCCGCCCCTTTTATTCTTTTGTTTCTCAGATCTTCCTTGTTGGAGTGTGAGAGCCTCAACTGAATCTATCTTTGCAGACTCCTTGTCTTGATGCCGAAACTCGTGATTCAACAATGCAATAGTCACATCACCATAGTTTAAGACCTCCTTCCCATGAATGTCCGTCATAGTGAATTTTTTGTACACATCCAAGAGCGAATTCGACAAAAGGAACGCCTTGTCTTCATCTCCAATCTCTTCATCCAGATTCAAAAGATGTGTCAATAGCTTTGTGAAGTCATTCAAATGCTTAATTGTAATCCCATGTCTCATATAAAACTTGTAGAGCCGCCATTTCATATGGAGATGATTTTCCATGCTCTTCGTCAGATACTTGTTCTCCAAAGTCTTCCATAGCTTCACAACAGAAGTCTCTATCATCGCCTCATACTTGATCTCCTAAGATAAGCAATTTCTGATCAAGCCAGAAGCACTTTGGTTCATCTTCAACCGATCTCTCTTTGACATCTCTTTAGGATGTTCATCTCCATCCAGAACATTCTCTAGATTTAAAGAGCATAACACATTTATCACCTCACATCACCACATGCTAAAATTCTCTTTGTCGTCAAATTTCCTCATAGAAATTTTGACGGGATGTGTAACTACCTGATAAATCAACGCATTCTTGATCGTTGAGGTGGATGTATCCGTGGCTCCACCAGATCTCATAACCTACACCAAATTGCAGCCTTCTCACGATGCCGAAATTGCACCAATCCGGCTTACTTTTCCACTTCCAGCAACAAACGAACAAAACCTTCGTTTCAAACGAATGATAGACCTTTGTAGAACTCTGCATTCTGCAAGTCGTCGTTGGAAATCCCACCGAAATCTGGCTCTGATATCAATTGTTGTGCAAACAATCATATTGTGTTATGCTCTTTAAATCTAGAGAATGTTCTGGATGGAGATGAACATCCTAAAGAGATGTCAAAGAGAGATCGGTTGAAGATGAACCAAAGTGCTTCTGGCTTGATCAGAAATTGCTTATCTTAGGAGATCAAGTATGAGGCGATGATAGAGACTTCTGTTGTGAAGCTATGGAAGACTTTGGAGAACAAGTATCTGACGAAGAGCATGGAAAATCATCTCCATATGAAATGGCGGCTCTACAAATTTATATGAGACATGGGATTACAATTAAGCATTTGAATGACTTCACAAAGCTATTGACACATCTTTTGAATCTGGATGAAGAGATTGGAGATGAAGACAAGGCGTTCCTTTTGTCGAATTCGCTCTTGGATGTGTACAAAAAATTCACTATGACGGACATTCATGGGAAGGAGGTCTTAAACTATGGTGATGTGACTATTGCATTGTTGAATCACGAGTTTCGGCATCAAGACAAGGAGTCTGCAAAGATAGATTCAGTTGAGGCTCTCACACTCCAACAAGGAAGATCTGAGAAACAAAAGAATAAAAGGGGCGGCAACGGCAAGTGGGGCAAGTCTAGTGGACGGAGTCTTGGGAAGAATCAGTGTGCTTTATGCTTGGAGATTGGTCATTGGAAGAAAAAGCATTCATGTAGAGGTTTCCAAAGATGAATAAAAGAGGATGTCTACTGCTGATTGGGTAAACAACTGTGTAAAGTTTTCCTGATTGCATGCCCAGAGACCCTTTTCAGAACGGATTCATAAAATGTTACAAAAGTTGCATTCACGCCAAGAAATATGAGAATTGCATTAAAAAAGAATACTGCTCTATTTCCAAATGAAATTTGATACTGCATATATACTACATCACTGTGCATGTGACATTTAACTTGACTTCTTATATTTATTCCAATCTGTGTATATCTTTTCAAATCAGCTTAGCCATCAATTGAGATTACATATTCTTAATTTGTCTTAGTTAATGTAGGGGGAAAAATTCTGTATATAAAAATAAATATAACTGATTATTAACTAGACAATTACTCCATTGGTCCATTCCGTTGAGAAACTACAGATAATCATAAAACAACTTATTTTAACTATTCAACTTTCCATTCCGTCGCTAGACTGATTACAGATAAATATAAGTTTGATTGATCAATGCTCTAAAATATTTATTAAGATATATTTTAAAGTTATTTTGATATATGAAAAATATTATGACTATTTGGCTAATAAACAAAAGACACAACCAGAAAATTTCTATAAGACATATTTTGACCTACAACAGTCAAATAATATTTCAAGAGTCATTATAAATCCAATTTACAAACTGTCTTCTCCATCTCATAGATGATGTAGTGTTTTAATTATAAGAAAATTTTCCTAATTTTATGGACAGTGTAGATATAAAAAACAAGGAGCTTTTTAGTAATTTGCAATTTTCAAAAAATTAGCACATGTCAGTACAAGTGAATTTTTAAGGATCGTTAGGTATCTGTTTTGAAGATTGATTTCATCAGAGCTTTCTATACATGCTTAGTTAATTTATAAATATTTTTTCATAATTTTTGGATCCCAAAATTTGAAGATATAAAATTATTTATATGAACTTTATATTTAAAATTAAACAATTGGAATAATTACTATTTTACCCTTAATATATTTTATTATAAAAATATTATTCCATTTTACATAACTTATCAAATGCCATTTAATTTGTTTTCTCAAACCAAGGAGAAGTTGGGAAATAGGGGAGAAAAGAGAGCTTTGTTTTGAAGTCGTAGAGCCATTTTTGTTGGTCGATCCAATTGGAGAAATTGCTCGTCTCAACGTAGACTATCATTACCTTACCTCTAATTTCACTGATTTTATTTATTTATTGTTTTTTTAATTTTAATTTAGTTAGAACTTACAAAACCTGCGATATCATAATTTTTTGCAAATTTTTACCGTGTAACATTTAATATATTATAGTTTTAATAATTCTGCACATACTGACGTGATTATATTAAATTTTTATCGAGTATTTTTGTATTTTGAAGGAAATTCCGTAATTTGAAAATTTTAGATAAATAATTATGAAAACCTCATAATACGGGTGTATGACATGCATACTTGCTATAATTAATATGTTGTAATTATATACATGTGAAAATGAGTATATTGATTTTTCTAATGAATATCACTAGTCATGATTCATATGTACATTTTAAATGCACTAGATTGATGCAATGAACTAAATATTGAGCATAATATTACATGTTTACTATGTTATATATACTGTGAAATTATGTAAGGATAGCTATGAATACTATAATTAATATGGGCTGGCCATTAAAATGATATTCCTTTATACGGAGGGTGGGCCGAAGGATTTTCCTTAAAATAAAGGTTTGTGGATAATCATGGATGTTAGCCTATAACCGATTGATTGATTTCACCAGCGGGTAAAAAGTGACAACTCTTTATTGATTCATTGAAAGACATCTGTTAAAGAAAATAATTAATATAAATAATTAAAAGATGTGATTGACAAATAATGATGGATTGATATGATAGATGAAATGATGAAAACATCGCTTTAAAGCTAGATGTACAACCCTGTTTTTCATAATTGTATATATATTTGCATTTACATGATGTATATAATCATAGAAGCATTGAGACTAATATAGTATGGCAACATATATATGATAAATATATTGTTAGACATTGATAGTTGTGCATATATAATGCATTAATAAATATATTGATATAAATAATTTATGTTTCTTTCACTGCAGCACATGTTATTGATTTATAGACTTTTTACCGATTTTCTTATAGATTAATAAACATCTCTTGCTTAGTGAGATACTCTTATTTTACTGATCATATTAGTTTTTACTATTGATTAATATTGATTGCATAGATCGTCTATCATTCATATTGATAACTTAATGATTGATATTGAATGGAATTGGAGCAAGCATATTTGATTCTTTTGCATTGCATTTAATACAGTGATAAGATTTTGGTAACCTGCTGGGCTCTATATGCTCGTTATACAATTTTTATTGATTTCAGATTTGGGTAGAGGTCAGAACTCTCTGGAGTGAGGCTGATCAATGTTTTCAGGTTTTCTTTTATTTATGTATTTTATTCTATTCTTTTGTAGTTAAGAGCTTTAAAAAGAATATATTAATATTGTTGAAAACCCCAGATTATTGTAAATTATATTTTGAAGGAATGAATATAAAAATATTTTGATATATATGATTTATAGTTGCTTTCATTAGATTTATTTAAAATTATGAATATTTAATGACTCTGGCAAATTAATTAAGATATAAAAATAAATAATTCTTTCAAATTTAGATCTTGGAGACTTATAGAAAATGCCTTCTCTTTTTTTATAAAAAGTATTATGGTAAGCACTCTTTTAAGGCATTTGCTTTTAGGGCATGTATGTTGTATAAATTGAGTGTTGGCAATAAAAAAGTTAATGATGCCTAAGTTGAGCAAAGAAAAAAAGGATAATATTAAGATGTGTGTGGCAAAAACATAAAAGATAGATTAGCAGTTATATATTAGAAGGATGATGAGAGTAGCATATATTAAAAATAAGATCGTGAAAAATAGATTTGAATTATTGGATATGTACATGAAAGAATCGAAAAGACATCTATAAGACTAGTATATAAAATTTATTCGAATGATTATAAAAAAAATACACAAAAAGTAACATTGGTAGATGTTGTGAAAAATATTTGCGCATGATAGACTTAATATCACATAAAACTTTCAACCCTTTTGAATTATACAGCAGAACCACGCATAAGGAAAACAAAAAACAGGTTAAAGGATTGTGCGAGTAAACTCTGAGAAATACATACCACAGGCTTTAGTAGCTCTTCAAGAATTTCTTGTGCATGTCTCAACCTCGCATCAATAATATTAGCAGGCAACTCAGCCTCAACAAGGATATGTAGCGGTTCACTTAAATGTTCATAACCTGGTCGGCCCCTAAGTTTTTCTTCCTTCATAGTGGGAATAATAAAGCAAAATGTTAAAACCTTATCCATACAGTAAATATAGTAGCACTGACTAAAACAAGTACAGATTTTCAGTTGACTCACAATTCCAATCAACCAAAAAAATTACCCATTAGCATAAATCAGATGTCATAATTTGATCTGAAAATGTACCCAGTAATGTAGAAAAACCCACAGAAATGAGAGAGATCGCACAATTTGGATGTGTTTAGAATTCAAATGAGGAAGCAACTAAGAAAAAGAAAAAAAAAAAAAAAACTTAAAGAAGAGAACAATCTTAATAAAGCATTGCATTAATGTGGCAAAGGAAAGATGAGAATAAACCACTTCCAAATTAGAAAACTGAAAAAGAATATCATTTCAAGCATCACTGAGTCATGGACTACTTAAAGGTTTTCACACAATGGACTACTTAAAGGTTTTCACACAATGGACTAATGTTGCAAAGGAAAGATGAAAATAAAGCACCTCCGACTTTAAGTAGCTTGAATAAGAACTATACTACAAGATGAAAATGTGTCATGACTAGTTTCAAACGTCACACTGAGCTAGACCACTTTAAGGTTTTCAAACAAAAGAAAGATGAAGGAAAGTTTGCCCTTCCTCTACCTACTGCAAGAAAGTTCTACAAGAAATCAAGCTGCTTTTCACTCCCCATACCAATATTTTATAAGAAAATCAAATATTTTGCAGAATCACACCTTTCAGATCAACATCAAAATTGATGATATGAAAAATTGATGTGAATCCACTTGTATTAGATTAGTAGTATATGTGGGCTAATTAATAGGATAATTAGCCTAATATAGTAATTTTAAGCCTATAAAAATCCCAATTCAAAAGTACGAGAGCATTATAGAAATGAATGAATGTGATATGGTTGTGGACCCCACCTCATGACAAGAGCCAAAAGGCTCTTGTTTTGTGAGTCCCAGCATCTCATTTCAGACTTATAGGATGAGAAAGTTTAAGGGGAGATCATTGGACTATTGGAGAAAATCTTAGGTTCATTTATGGTGGGAAAAGTTTAAGCGGAGATTATTGGAGGAAATGTTAGGTTAATTTATGATGGAATTAGGGCTGGTTTTAAGGGGGAAAGTTTGTATGTGGAAGAGATTATGTAAAGAATTATCTGAAGTAATTTTTCTTAAGGTGATTTTGGGTTCCTAATTGCTGCTAGGAAATTGGGGGAGAGCCGATTCACCTCTCGAACAGTGAATCAATTGTATCTTGTGTTTCTTTGATTGAAGATTGTTATTTTAACTTTATTAGTATTGTTCGTGCATACCATTGTTGTTTTCTTTTGATTTTGGTGGCTATTTTTGCTGTTTAGTGATGATTTCGCTCTAGTGGATATTTTGGGTGCTAATTTGATCTCCAAAACATATCAAATTGGTATCAGAGCCAGGTTTATGGGATTGATGGCTAGGAGAAGAGTTGAGGTGTCGGAAGAAAAGTTGGAGGAGTAGGGAAGCTATGAACATATGTGGGATCATTCAATGAGCATTTTTCAGCGATGGAAGGAAGATTTGAGAATCCAGATGAGATGATAAAGTGGATGTTGGAGTTTCAAACTAAAGAGACTCCATCAGAAGCAAGGGGGAATTGGGGAAATGCCATGCCAAGGGGAGACATGTGAAAATTTTAGGAGAAAATGAGGGAATACCCCACCTTGAGCCTCTATTGAGAAGAGAGATAGATAGGGAATATGGAGGTAGATGGAATGGGAAGAAGAGAACAGGCGGGCTGAATTTGAAGGAAGAGGGGTATGAAAGGAGAAAGGGGGAGAGGGAACCGTGGAGAGATCCCAATGCTCACTTCATACAAGGCATATGGGGCGGAAGGTGAAATTGGGGCAGAGGAGATCCGAAGGTAAGGAAGCTAAAAATGCCGATGTTTAAAGGCAAGGATGCGTATGGATTGATCTATAGAGTAGAGAGATATTTTACGGTGAATGGGTTGACGGAAGGGGAGAGATTTATGCGGCGGCTCTATGTCTCGAAGGGAAGGCACTAGCATGGCACCAATTGAGGGAGAGTGGTACCCTATTTATTCATGGGAGGAGTTCAAGGATTGTTTATTGGAGCGCTTTCGAACCAAGTAGGAGGACTATTATGAGCAGTTCTTTGCTTTGAAACAGGTGGGAATGGTAATGCAGTACCGGGAGATATTTGAGCTTCTGTCGGGATGTTTAGGGAAACTACCGGAGACAGTGTTAGAGAGCAATTTCATGAAAGAACTCAAACCAAAGCTGAGAGTCGTGCGAATGGAAAGACCCCATGACCTAGGAGAGGCTATAGAGTTAGCCCAGTTGATAGAGTACAAGAACTCACTTTAGAGGAGAAGCAAAGGGGATAGTTTTGTAGGTTTTTACCGCACGACGACCACCTTCCTTGTACTTAGGGTGCCAACTGTATCGGGTCAAAGAGAGGCTCAAAAGGAGAAAGGTTTGGGAGCACGTCCGGGAGAGACCTTTAAACAAATGACTAATGCGGAACTGCAGGACAAACGAGCTAAGGGGCTATGTTTTAAATGTGGAGACAAGTTTACATCGGGCCTTAGGTGTAAAAATCGCACCTTTTAGGTCCTTTTTGTTTGTGACAAGGAGGAGATGGGCAGTGTAGAGGCAGAAGGAGAAGTGGTAGAGGAAGAGGAGCCCTTACACTTGGAGGTGGCGGAGGTTTCATTTAATTCTGTAGTGGGATGCACCCCAACACACACAATGAAGATGAGGGGATAGATATGAGGGAAAGTAGTGGCGATTTTGGTGGATAGTGGGACTACCCACAATTTCATATCAAATTAGGTGGTTGACAAGCTGGGGCTAATGCTAATAGACAGGGATGTTTTTGGGTGATGATGGGCATAGGGAAGGTGGAGAAGAGATGGGAATCTATCAGAGATTGGTGGTGGAGTTGCAGGGGATTCACACCATGGAGGATTTTCTTCCACTGGAGTTGGGAAGTATGGATCTAATCTTGGGTATGAAGTGACTACAAACTTTGGGAGAGATCAAGGTGGACTGGAAGGCCTTAGCTATGGAGATCCAAGTGGAGGGGAGAAATGTGGTGATTAAGGGAGACTCTAGTTTATCCAAAGCAATAGTTTCCTTAAAAACCATGGTGCGTGCCAAAGAGGGTGACAGATTGGGATTCTTGGTGGAGCTCCAAAGCTTGGAGGGAGGAGATGCCCAGGAGATAGAGGATATTCTAGAAGTAGTTCAACCGCTTCTATAGCAGTTCAGTGAAGTATTCCAACCACCCCAAGGATTGCCTCCTCCATGGGAGCACGAGCATGCTATTATTCTGAAGGAAGGAGTCACTCCCATTAGTGTTCGACCATATCGCTCGCTACCCACAGGTCTAGAAGGATGAGATTGAGAGGCTAGTTTGGGGGATGCTTGAAGCTGAGATCATCAAGTCCAGTGTGAGCCCTTTTTCTATTCCTGTGTTGGTGAAGAAGAAGGATGATAGTTGAAGATTTTGTATATATAGATTTTGTGCCTTGAACAAGGATATTATGCCAAACAAGTTTCTCATATTGGTCATTGATGAATTGCTAGATGAATTGCATGGTTCGGTGGTGTTCTCAAAGATCGATTTGAAGTCTGGGCATCAGTAGATCATAATGAGAAAAGAAGACACCCACAAGACGACTTTCAGAACTCATGAGGGAAACTGTGAGTTCTTCGTGATGCCTTTTGGCTTCTCTAATGCCCATGCCACTTTTAAGTCACTCATGAATAGGGTGTTCAAGCCTTATCTTCGGAGGTTTGCTCTGGTATTCTTTGATGACATCCTTATCTATAACAATTCAGAGGACGAGCACTTAGAGCACTTGGGGATGGTGTTGAAAACTTTGAAGGAGCACCAACTATATGTCAACTTGAAGAAGAGCTCTTTTGCGCAGCAAAGGGTAGAGTACTTGGGACATATAGAGTCTCAAGCCAGACTACCAACAGATCCAACCAAGATAGAGGCAATGGTAGAGTAACCAGTTCCTAGAAACTTGAAGGGGTTATGGGGGTTCTTGGGACTCACAGGATATTACAGGAAGTTTGTGAATGCATACAACTCTAAATCTTGGTCGTTGATAGAGCAGCTGAAGAAAGCCATGAATAGTGTTCCTGTATTAGCACTATTAGATTTTAACCAACAGTTTTTACGGTAGAGATTGATGCATCAGGCTATGGGTTTGGAGAGTTCTAATGCAAGGGCAAAGGCTTATAGCTTATTTCGACCAAGTGTTGACTACTAAGGCTAGACTAAAATCAATATATGAAAGGGAACTGATGGAGATTGTGTTAGCAATTCAGAAGTGACGACCTTACCTGTTGGGGCAGCACTTCATAGATCAGGATCGATTAGAGGATTTTGAAGTTCTTGCTGGAGCAGATGATGGTGGCAGAGGAGCATCAACGGAGGCTTTCCAAGTTGTTGGGGTATAAATTTAAGATCCAATACAAGCCCGGGTTGGAAAATAAAGTCACAGATGCTCTCTCCAGACATAGTGAAGATCCCCAAGTTATGGCTCTATCGGTCCCCATGGTGGTGGATTGGGAGATCTTGAAGCAAGAGATCAAGAAGGAATGCAGGATGAAGAGTTGAGTAAAATCATAGGAGATTTACTGCAGAACAAGGATAGTCATCCTAGTTATTCCGTGGTGGGTCACAAGTTATTATACCAAGGACGGCTTGTGCTATCAAGGACATCACATACCCCTCACTTGTTGCAGGAGTTTCAAGGCACATCTATTGGGGCATATTCGAGAATCCAAAAGGCATATCGTCAATTAGTAGCAAACTGTATTGGGTGGGCATGCAAAAGGATGTGAAGAAGATGGTGGCCAGTTGAGATGTATGTCAGAGACACAAATACCAGGCCATAGCTCCGGATGGTCTTTTACAGCCTTTAGCATTACTCAAGAAAGTGTGGGAAGAGGTGACTATGGACTTCATTGAGGGATTTCCTAAGTCAGAAAGATT